GCACACAGTAGGGCTGCCTGTGGGGATGAAGCGGCACACAGTAGGGCTGCCTGTGGGGGGAAGCGGCACACAGTAGGGCTGCCTGTGGGATGAAGCGGCGCACAGTAGGGCTGCCTGTGGGGATGAAGTGGCACACAGTAGGGCTGCCTGTGGGAGGGGGGGGACAGGACGCAGAAACAGGTGTACTGAGAATGGGGTCACTGAGCCTAGAGAACTTTGACAGCGAAGGAGAGAAGGGCTTACAAGTATGCACCTTCCAATCAGAAGGACTGGGACGCCCGCCTGAGGCTGGCTAGTCCCATGGATAGCAGCAGCAGGAGGGGGGATGTGGCAAGTCTGGAAAGTCAATTCTGCTTTTCCCTTCGGCCAAGGAAGATTCCGCACCACCTCCGTCTTAACCCAGAGCCCAGCTCAGGACCTGCGGCCAAGACGGGCCGGAGCCCTGCATGTCCTCATACTAGAAAGGCCTACCTAGCCACCGCCAGAAACCGCGCCTTTGGTCATTGAGGGGAGGTGACAGCTGTTACTCACCCGAGTTTATTTTGCTGATTACTGACACTGACCCCGAAGACTTGCCAGAACTGGACCATGGGTTGGACGGGATAAAGTCCTTGCCTGGATTCGGGAGTATGCCATTTCTTATGTTGATTCCTAAATAGAGAAGAAAGGAATTTGAAATGGAAAATAGGAAGCATGGATAAAGGAACTGTGGTACATATACACAATGGAATACTATTCAGACCTAAAAAGAGACAAGATCAAAATCCTGCCATTCACCGCAGAATGGGCAAGATGGAAGGAGATTATAAGGGGAATAAGCCAGGAGCAGACCCAAAACGACTGCGCAATGCTTACACATGGACTCCAAACCAAGCCGAGCACACAGACTGAAGTCGGGAGCTCTCGAGGCTCTCAAACGAAGGCCAAGAGCCTCCACGGCCACTGCGAGCCTGGGCTGCCCTCTCCCTCCACCAGCTCCGCTGCCCACCCCTCTCCCTCCTCCCCTCCACCTGCTCCGCTGCCCACCCCTCTCCCTCCTCCCCTCTACCCTGCTCTGCTGCCCACCCCTCTCCCTCCTCCCCTCC